AGGGGACAAATCCAGAAAGGATGAAGAAACTGTGGAAAGTCACCCTAAATGAGAAAAATCGCTATGAACACCAACAGTGGTTTGGAGACCTACCTGTGACTGGCAATCATCTTCCATACTGGCAGGAGAGTCTTCTTAAATAGTAAGTGATCCTGAACAGGATCACTCTGACTTAGATCAGACCTATAGGATAAAAAAGGACAGAAAAGAAACAATAACTTTAAAAATGGCTTTCTGTCTCTCCTAGGGAGTAATGAGGTTTTCTCAAGACAGTGTTCCTACTTAATAACACTATAAGAATAAAAAAATAATGCTTCCATAAGGGACCCCAAATTCTATAAATATTCTCTTACTAATCACTATTACTCAATAAAATAGTTATCATTTTATAAAATATATTACAAATCTGTAATTGCCTCCAGCCGGTCTCTTTGCTGATTTGCTCATTAACACCTGTGACTCTAAAACACTGACATTTCCCAAGTGCCTGGCACACAGTAGGTGCTCAATTAAGTATCTGATAAATGAATCTAGTCCTGTTTTTATGTAAAAATATGACGCAATGATAACTATGTCTCCACAGAAGAAAATACTTGGTCTCACATCCCAAAGAATTCTCACATTTTGTCTGATTGCTACACAATTTAAGTATTTTTCCTTTTCGCTCTCCTCTATATAGTAACTCTTTTTTTTTTTTTTAAATATATTTTATTGATTTTTTACAGAGAGGAAGTGAGAGACATAGAAAGCTAGAAACATCGATGAGAGAGAAACATCGATCAGCTGCCTCCTGCACACCCCCTACTGGGGATGTGCCCGCAACCCAGGTACATGCCCTTGACCGGAATCGAACCTGGGACCCCTCAGTCCGCAAGCAGACGCTCCATCCACTGAGCCAAACCGGTTTCGGCTATATAGTAACTCTTAAAATACCTAAGAAAATTTCATTTATTCTCATGGCCATTCCTTCTCTGAGTTAAACTATCTATTTAGTTTTTCTTCAGAGATGAAACTGTTCAATGCTTTCTTTTTCTTGTTTAAGAGAGGGAGAGAGAAACATTTATCCGTTTTTCCACTTCTTCATGCATTATTGGTTGCCTCTTGCATGTGCCCTCACCAGGGATTAGAGCCACAACCTTGGCATATAGGGAGGACAACAATCTAACCAATTGAGCTACCCAGTCCGGTCTATTTATTTTTATAATTTTCCAAGTTGGCAAGTTTTCTATTTACTCCAAAAGTTAAACATTATCCACCCTATTATTTTCTCTAAATAATGAGTTCTCTTCACAGCTAAGTCTTCACACCCTCATTTTGCTTTATGCACCTTATAGTGTGCATCCATTTGAGAACAACTCACATCTCATTTTATCTTTCTCCAATTTAAGCAGCTTCACGTAACTGTTCATTTTCATGATGTAATATCTTACCTGCATCTAAACTATATACCACAAAAATCAACTTATCCTTAAACATTTAAAGTCCTGCAAACAAACTTCCTTTGTTTCTGATCAACCAGAATGATAACTCCTTGGTGCTGGTGCAATTTATTCACACATCTATGCAACAGATATTTAATATGTTTCCATTATATGAAAGGTACTGCACTAGGTTATGTAACCTCATAATCAATCACATTTGCAATATTTTAAGAAACAACCTGTTGCTTATCTTTATTTCCACCTATTTAGAAATGCATGGCAAGCAACTACAAGTAAAAGTGTGGAAGTGGAGCCCTAGCTGGTTTGGCTCAGAGCATTGGCCTGGGGACTGAAGAGTCCTGGGTTCGATTGCTGTCAAAGGCACATGCTTGGGTTGCGGGCTCGATCCCCAGTACGGGGCCTGCAGGAGGCAGCCAGTCGATGATTCTCTCTCATCACTGATGTTTCTATCTCTATCCCCCTCTACTTTCCTCTCTGAAATGAATAAAAATAAAAAATAAAGAATCTAGAGAAATTAAAATTAATTAATTAATTAATTGCTTTAATAATAATAAAAAGTGTGGGAGTGGAAAGGAGCTGCAGACTGGGATTGATGCTCCAAAGGCTCTACTTCTCTCTACTCTTGAGAGTCAGTACAGACTAAGGGTGAAGACAGAAAAGAGGGGCCTGGAGAATGTCTATCCCTCCAAGTAGTTTTAACCTTCCCAATGACAGCACAAGAACTCAGCTTTCTAGTTCTCCTTAAACTATCTGACCAAGCAAACTCAATTACTAATATCTATTGCCATTCAAGACACTGAAATATCTTGAAATAATTCATGTCAGATTAGAGATTTCCTGTTTTTTAGATAGTTATCACATGCCATCTTCTCATACACAGAGAAAAGCAAAAGAAGCAATTCTTCAATAACCTAGTTTTTAAGCTGAATTCTATTTGTATAACAAAAATTTGAAATCTGCTATTTAAAAGAAATATATATACATGGTTCAGTTGTATACCTTAAATTTAAAAAGGCTAAAATAATTATTGGTTTGCATTTCAACAGATATGTGGGTGGATCAGGAATATAGTGAAAACAAAACTGTTCATGCTATCTTCTCTCAATGGACAAAAGATCAGGCCCAGAAAAGGAATTATTTATTATCTTATCAAAAATAACTTTGTTTTCCGATTTAGAAAAAAATTCACTTTACTAAAAAGAAAAAAATTCTAAAATGTAACCTTTGGCCCCATAATTACTTATAAAAAGATGAGACAAGCATATAAACAATTTCCTAAGATTTGTGAAAAAGGAACAGAGAGATCATAACTTCAAAATAATTTTTCATTTCAAGTTAATAGGAGCTGTCTTAGTATTTTTTTAATTAATTAATTTGTTGATTGATTTTAGAGAGAGAGGAAGGGGGGAGAGAGGGAGAGAGTGAGCAAGAGCAAGAAAGACATCAATTTGTTGTTTTACATATTTATGCATTCATTGGTTAATTCTTATATGTGCCCTGACCAAGGATTGAACCTATAACCTGGTGTATCAGGAAATGCTCTAACAAACTGAGCTAACTGGTCAGAGCCTGCCTTAACATTTTTAAAAGAAGTATAGTTTGTATAATAGACATGAGGGACGATCTGAATTAGCAATACTGCCTGAATAAAGATTAGAGAGAAGGGTTATTTATGAAAGAGATTCTTAATGTTGATAAAACAGACTTGTTTTATAAGAGGAAAGCATATAGACATATTTATACAGTAAAATTAATTTAATTCTATTTCTAGTGTTTTCCAACTCTAATTTCCTTTTTTTACTTTGCAAAAGTAATCTATATTCATGCTAACAATTCAAACAGGCATAAACAGAAGTAAAAGCATAAATCCTAACAAGCTTGGATAAGTATCCATACTTACAGATTTGAGGAAGTAGAATGGCTGAAAAGGACATCCACCAGAGGAGCCTCCTGAATGCTAGAGCCATCATCACACTCACCTGAGGAGGGCCGGTCTTCCATCTCTGACACATACCCTTCGCCCTGGTCCTCTTTGGATTCTTGCTGAACCTCTCCCTAGGAGTGCCAGGAAACAATGGAAACTTTAGAAAATATTTACTATCTGCAAAGTAATTTTAATTTATTTATTTTTATTACTGAGAGATTTATTATTCCACTTATTTATGCATTCATTGGTTGTTTCTTTCTTTTTTTAAAATTAATTAATTTATTTTTTCATTGGTTGTTTCTTGTATGTACCATAACCAGGGATTGAACCCACTACCTTGGAGTACTGGGTTAGTGCTCTAACCAACTGAACTACATGTTCAGGGCCTCTGCAAGGTAATTTTACATGTATGAAGTAAATGAAAGCTGACCTTAAGGTGAGAAGAGGCCAAATATATAAAGCTATAAAAGAAATTAGAGAAATATGACTTAACTAGACCTAAGTCAATTCTTCTTAACAATCTTGCTGGAGAACTTTGACTCTGTACTCCAAGAAAAAAATAAAAAACAATATATTCAATTCTAGATGGATGCTGTATCCTTTTATTTATTTACGAGGCCCGGGGCACGGATTTGTGCACCGGTGGGGTCCCTTGGCGTGGCCTGTGGGGAGCGGGCCAAAACCGGCAATCCAACATCCCCAGAGGGATGTAGTAGTGTGAGAAGCAGCAGATGGTTGGGGAGGAGCCTGAGCCCCGGCTGGGCACTGCACCACTCCAGCTCATCCCGGCCCTGCTACACCTGCCGCCACCACCGCTCGCCGGCCGCTCGCAGCTCGGAAGGCTCACTGCCCCTCCGGTGCAGTCTCTGCACACCCGTCATAGGGTAATACCAGCGCACCCATGACCGAGAGCAGCAGCAGGCTCACGCCCAATAAGTCCTGATGTCGGTCCTGATCCTGGTCACGGTCCTGGTCCAGATTGGGGAGGGGTGCACAGGGGGAGTATCTGCAGGAGAGGCTGCACCACAGAGGCGCTCACTAGTTGTGAGCCTGGCATCTGGCGCCCATCAGTCAGCTGAGCGATGCTCCCACTGTGGGAGCGCACTGACCACCACGGGGCAGCTCCTGTATTGAGCGTCTGCCCCCTGGTGGTCAGTGTGCATCATAGCGAACGGTCAAAAGGTCGCTTAGGCTTTTATATAGATTTATTTATTTAGTTAGTTAATCCTCACCTGAGGATATTTTTTCCATTGATTTTTAGAGAGAGTGGAAGGGAGGGTTACAGAGGGAAACATCGATGTGAGGGACACTGATTGGTTGCCTCCTGCATTTGCCCCAATCAGGGCCAGGGATCGAACCTGCAACCAAGGTACATGCCCTTGACCAGAATCAATCCCGAGACTGTTCAGTCACCAGGGTGATGCTCTAACCACTGAGAAAACTGGCTAGGACGGATGCTGTATCCTTTTAAAATTTTCATTATTTTTGTGGTCCTGGAGCTAACTAGTCTAACTGGTCAGATAATATTAATGATATTATAAATTCTGAATTTTACTGATTGCTTACTATGAACTAGGCCTTATGCGAAGTTTTTCCCATGAATTATCATTTAACCTCACAGCAAAACTATAAGGTAGAGAAAGAAATAATTCCAGTTACAGCAGAGAAAACTGAGGTTCTAAAATGTTCACTAACATGCTTAAGGTCCCACAGCTAATTGATGCTAAAACCAAGATTTGGACCCAGGTAGTTGAACTCTGGAGTTACCTATGTGCTCTACCACTCTGCTCTCTGCCTCCCTGTGCAGAGAGCTAGACAGCTGATTTAAGTTATTCACTTACCTCTTCGTTCTCTGTTGGTAGTTCCCAAACTGCACAAATATCTGAGGGAGCTGGAGCCATCTCTGGCCTTCCATTTTCTCCCAGTGACTCCTCAGCTACCAATGGTTCTACCTTAGCTGAAAGCTCTTCAGGCTCTCTGCAGGGTTCCTCATCTCCTTCAGTAGCTTCAATTTCCCTTTCCTCTTGCCTGGTATCAGGTGAAGGGCAGCAACCTTCACTTGATTCTTTGCTGCTAATGCACAATGGCTCCATTAAATAAGCTACCTGCAATCACAGTCTATCGTTAGATTAGAAACATCAATAGAAATCATAATCTACATATCAATAATGCCACATGATTACACTGCCACTGTGTCTAAGCCTGAGATGGCAAATAGATTAACTTTTTCAATCATTTAAAATGCATTAAATATCTTATACTGGAGGCCCGGTGCACGAATTTGTGCACCAGTGGGGTCCCTCAGCCTGGCCTGTGGGATCGGGCCAAAACCGGCTCTCTGACAATCTCTGGGGTCCCCTGAGGGGTCCCAGATTGTGAGAGGGTGCAGGCTAGGCCAAGGGACCCCACCAGCGCACGATCAGGGCCAGGGAGGGACACGGGAGGTTGGCCAGCCAGGAAGGGACCGCGGGAGGGCTCCAGGGCGTGTCCGGCCCATCTTGCTCAGTCTCTATTGGCTGGACCCCAGCAGCAAGCTAACCTACTGGTTGAAGCGTCTGCCTGCTGGTGGTCAGTGCACGTCCTAGTGAGCGGTTGAGGGGCCTTAGCATAACACTGGCATATTATGCTTTGATTCGTTGAATGGCCGACTGGTCAACCGGACACTTAGCATATTAGGCTTTTATTATATAGGAAGGATACACAGGCACTATTACTAGTTGGTAAGGACCTAACAGTAAACAAGATATTGTTCTTGCCTCAAGGAGCTTATGTTCTACATTTTCACCTCAAGTGTCAACTCTGATCAATTGGGACTGGCTACCAAACTACTGAAAATTTTGTCTGCCAAAACAGAAATGGCAACATTTGAACTGGATTCTTGCTGATCTTGACCTATATTCTGTTGAATGTGTGTGTAGTTGCTGCATAAATATAAACTGTCAAATTCTGTTTATTTCTGATCCTCAGACCTTAACTAGGGTAATAAAAACACTATAAATTACTGTCTTAATGTCATACGTTATAAGCTTTAAGGTGAGTTTGGGCAAGAATCATCTCATGAATGAAAGAATGAACTGCAAGGATACTCTTATAGAGTAGTCCTGCATACAGAAATTTCATTTCCTGTCAGGGTCCCAATGACTGGATTTTGTAATATTCAGCCCAAAAGTATACATTTGAAGCATATTTTGTGTTAGTACCAAGTGCTGAAGACACAGCAATGAACTTAGTCCCTGCCACTGTGGAGCATAGATTTCAGTAAATAATATTAAGAGTGGTAAAAATATATATGAGTAAGCATTCTCTTAGTGTTAAGACTCTTCCAACTTTGGAAATAATGACTCCCCATTACCTCAGAGAGAAAGTGGAGGAGGTTCTGGTGGCTGATTTGCTGTGTCTCTTCCTGAGATTCCTCACTGCCTCCGTCCCCCATAAGCAGCTCACTAGATTCTGTCCCTGGGCTGCTTTCCACTAATTCCTCAGTCCCTGGCTCCTCAGTTTCCCTCCAGCTGCCCACATCAAGATCCAGACTGGAGTCCCACGAGCTGAAGAGGGACCTGCAGTTGTTGCTCAACTCAGAGTCATTGGGATAGTCTTGTTCAGAATCCAACCAAACCCACTCACGCCCCATCTGTAAATACACAGAAAAAAAAATGCATTAAATTCACTCAAATGAATATTCCTAAGGCGTCTGCATCTCATCTCCCAAGTTCATTAGAAAGATAAGGGGACAGAAATGTATTTCTACTCATTAGTAACAACAAAAAATAGCTGAAATGAGATACCAAGAGACAAAATGATCTGTCACTGGGAATAAAGAAAAAGTCCCATGTCAAACAGTATAATAAAGATATTACCCGATAAGTATTTTTTTCTTAGACTTCCTTATACTCCAAAAGAGAAAGAACTAGAGCATAAGTACAGCATAGGAAATATAGTCAACAATATTGCAATAAATATGAATGGTGCCAGGTAGGTACTAGAAATATCAGGGGGAACACTTTGCCAAGTATAGGATTACCTAACCACAATGGTGTACACCTGAAACTAATACAAAATAATACTGTTAATTGTAATTGAAAAATATATAAAAAATAAAGAACTGGACCATAGTTAGCTGAAAAAAATTCCTCTATCCCAAATCATTCTTAAAATCAACTGCAAGGCAATAAATTTGAGGGATAAGTGATATTTTCCTCAGTGTTTAGGTATGAACCTATGAAGCATTAAATCCTCAAAACACACTTTAAGATTACCCGTTATATCCAATTCTCACTTCTCAGAATGAAAAGCGCAACATCAAGTTTAAAAATATCTTCCTTTCCTTTCATTACACTATCCTGATTTTCTTACCCCTTTGTTCTCTCCCTTTAAAACTTTCAATAAATCCTTATCTATGTTCTTGCTTAGTCCTTTTACTTCCTCATTGATACATACTTTTAAAAATGTATATACTTTGAGGTTTCAATTTTGATATCTTTTCAGGTGGCTCCCAAAATCTGTCTTTAACCGATAAGCATTCTGGTCTCATTTCTCCCTGTACCCAAAGGTCAATTCCCTTTTGGTGCTCTACCATCTGCTTCAACTCAACATTTCAAAAACTAAGATCACTTCTCTTCCTGATTATCTCCAAAATCATTTGCTCTCTCCAATTTCCTTATCCCCATCAACACTATTTCTTGATCCTGTTTTAACTCATCTCCTGCATTTGGTAAGCAAGTCCACTTCCCAGTTTTCTTCCACCATTTTTCTCAATACCCATTCTTTGTTCCTCAATAAATGCTATAACCCTCCCTCCCCTCTGGTCAATTTCTTTTTTTTTTTAAATATATACTTTATTGGTTTTTTACAGAGAGGAAGATATAGAGTTAGAAACATTGATGAGAAACATCAAACAGCTGCTTCCTGCACACCTCCTACTGGGGATGTGCCCGCAACCAAGGTACATGCCCTTGACCAGAATTGAACCTGAGACCTTTCAATCGCAAGCCAACGCTCTATCCACTTAGCCAAACCGCTTAGGGTGTCAATTTCTCTTTAATCCAATCTGCTCTCAACTCTCCCTGTGCAAGGCTTTACAACAGCCATTCCCTCAATATAAATTTATCAATCTGCGACTCAAAGTACTCCGTAAATCAAACCCTACTTTGCTTCCTTGGTCTGGTATTTGTACTTGGTTATTCCTTAGGTGATCCCTGTTCTAATTATGTCTCCCTATTGCCCCCACCATAGATACTACACCTTTAACCAGGATTGCTAAACTCATTCATCACTTTCTCTACCAACCCAAAATCTCTGTCCCTTTAATGGCTCTCCTTGTCCATACTTTTCCAACTTCTAAGGCTTCACTGCTTATTTACATGCCTATTTGTGCACTGCTTTGGGGGTATACTGCAGTTATTTTCCTGGGCTCATTAAACTCCTTTCCATCACTTCATAAAGACTGTATTGTTTTAGCTTGTTAGCATCCTAACAAACTTTAAAAAGTATTTAAACCAAAAAGATCTGGCCTGGCCAGCATGGCTCAGTGGTTGAGCGGCAACCTATGAACCAGAAGATCATGGTTTGATTCCCAGTCAGGGCACGAGAGAAACACATCAATTGGTTGCCTCCAGCACAAGCTTTGACTGGGGCAAGGAATCAAGCCTGCAACCAAGGTACATGCCCTTGACTGGAATGAACCTGGGACCCTTCAGTCCTTGGGCTGATGCTCTACCCACTGAGCCAAACTGGCTAGGGCCTAATCCCATCTTTCTCAAGAAGGCTCAAAGTACGAGGCAATACCCTATTAATCTCCATCTCTTTATAATAAAAGGCTCATTACTAGTTTCCATGGAGTTAATTCTATGTAGTAAGAGAAGTTAGAATAAACTCAAGTGATAAATTTGATAACTCAAACTCAGTTTAGCCTTCAAATAGCAATGTTATGAATCCTAAAACACATAAGAGCTCCACACATAGAAATTGATAAGGAAACAGTAATATACTATCCTAGAAATACCATCTGCATAGTGTTATGTATAAATAAATGAAATAAAGGTCAGCACTACCGATATATCTATGTTCAAATCTAGGGCAATGACATGAACAAAACTTTTAAAACCTTTTAAGTTTTTCCAAATATTCAAGAAAAGCTGAGTAAGAGTCCTTACTGCGCAACGCAACACTTTAAAACAGCGGTCGCCAACCAATGGTCCACGAGGTCCAAAAGGTTGGCGACCGCTGATTTTGAAACATTAATTACAAGTTAAATCTTGGTTATTTACCTTCTCTGAGTTGTAACAGAATAATTCATTTTATAAGACCACTTTCCCTCTCTAACAAATGACAAAACAGTTATCGTGCAGAAGAAATCACAGGTTTCATACACACACACAGAACACACCAGACAAGTTTTCTTTCAGAGTTTATTGTGAACACAAACACTTCACAGATTTTTTTTTTTTAAGTATGTACACTTCACAAGACAGTACAAATTAGCTACAATCTGTTAGTTACACATTAGGACATTAACACAGCCCATGATTTTTGCCTTAAAACAGGCAATTATGCTACTCCAACTCTGAGATTTTCCCCAGATCATGTCACATGGCCCAGGAGCTTCTTCTGTTAACTCCCAATTCTGGAACTGGGCCCACAAGCCCAAACTTTAACTTGTTTCTTTCTTTTTCAGGTTCAGCTCAATGAGGGTACTCTGAGACTTCACTTTTTCATCTTCATATCTGCTTCAATGGCACAGCGGCGCCCCCTGGTGCCACCATCCTAAATGACAGGCAGACAAAGAGAGTATGAATGAGTTGGTTAAAAAATAAGAGAACAAGAATGCTGGGGATTTGATTTCTTAGGGGAGAGGGGAATCAGCAGAAAAATCCAGGAAATGAGGGGGATATAGGTCTTCCCATAATGTGTGGTAAAAATCACCTGGTAGTAGTTTGGAAGAGAATATATAGTACAGAGTATCTTGCTCCTGCCCACCAGATTGCTGGAGTTCATCTGGGGCCCACAAAATGACTATTTGTCATCCCTCCGCAGCCCCCAAATTATGTGCAAAGGAACAGAAAAAGTAAAAGGTGGGAGAGTCAGAAAGGGCAGTGGATAGTGAGATTCTTAGCTAACATACCTGTCCAGCTGTTTGTTGGTCCCTAAAGAAAGGCCTTTCCTGCAGACTGACCCTGGCACTAGTTCCCTAGCACCTCCTGACAGTTGTTTTCCATGAGATCAGGACAATCAGAAGGCTTCTTTCCATCTGCTGCTCTCTCCCTGCAGCCCAGATCCTTCCTCTTGTGCAATACATTGCTGTCTTCCATAGATAAAAGATCCTATTAACCAGCCTTGTAACAGCCAGCCAATTGCTTGGGGATCCAGTCACTGTTGCAGGCCAATAAAAAAGAACGGAGATTATAGTGTTCTGTCTGTGGTACAGGCTGAGGCCTGTAGGCAAGATGAACGAACACTTTTGCTTGGCCAGGCCATTTTAACATTTCTAACATTAAAAGACTCAATATTTAGAGTTCACCAACACAAGTTGCCTTTGAAGCAACAGTAAAAATAAAAATACCATCTTGTATTTGTATAACACTTTAATTTTTTTCAAGCCAGTTCCATACCTCTTATCTCATTTTATCCTCACAACATCCCTGTGAGGTAGGCTGGACAGGTACATCATATATTAGCTCCAGCAGACAGATGAGGAAAACAAGGCTCCAAGAAATAATCCAGTCAATTTAAGATCATGTGGTTTTTCTATCTAGCCTAATGCCCTTTCCATTATATCATGTCTCAGCGCCCCAAAATGAGTAACAGTCAGAGGGTCTCCAATTCATGGACAAAGGAATAAAAGTCTTTAGGCTAGCTTTCCTAAGCTTATCACTATTTGCACCAGCCACTGTTCTCTGCAGTGGTCATTGTTACTGAGATCTTTATCTTATATTTTACTGAATGTTTATGTATCAGACATCAGTCTTGCAACTTAATATTAGGGGAAAATATAAAAACTGTGTGTTGAGTATCTAGTATGAGGAACACTTTTCAAAAGCCAGCTAGCAGCTGCTGCTCTGAATAATTTTTTATTTGTAAGAAAAGAATTGGCAAAAGGTGGAGTCAAGAAATGAGGAGCGGTATATCTTAGATCCTTACCAATACCTCATTCCAGCCCAGTGAACTCATAAAAAGTCCCTACCCAGCCCACACACACACACATGCAGAAAGACAGGAATGCAGAAGAGACAGATTCTTATTCAATGACCTGAATAAACAGAAGTTCAACACATTGCTACAGTCTGCATGTTGGCTTTCCCTCTGCCACCCACCCCCAGCGGGAGCAGAGAATCTTTGTGGCAACACCACCCCTTGCAGCCATTCAATACTTACAAAGAGAGAGAGAAGGAAGGCAGGAGAGCCCATGGGGACACTGTCCTGTTAGAGGACAAACAAACACTGATCAGGTTCCACAGAAACTCTCAGCCGTAAGCACCCCAAACCTCAGGACAGAGACACAAGCACCACACACACACAGACAAAACTTAAAAACTCAAGAACAAGAGGAAAGAGATCCAAAAGCAATCTGGCCATTATGCCTCTGGAACTTGTTATAAGCCAAGTCATTTACTCCACCTTGCGAGCACTCTTAGAAGAATTAGTAATTTGCTCACTCAGCTCACAATTTCTCCCATGTGACTGGGCCAGCCTTCCA